ATATAAAAAAAAGGCATCAACCATTGTTGGTCCCAGCTATTTGTGGTTTGGGAGGGGTGGATTGCATATGAATCTAATCTTTGATTTTTTTTTATAAAGCTGTCCCTGTAAAAGTCAAATTTGTGTTTTCATGCTTGTCAGCCCAAGACTTTAATTACCCTTTCACTATGCAATGGTCAATGTTTATGCCATATCCCAATTAAGGGTGTCAATGGATCGGTTTTGGATTGGATCCTTTTCAGTTTAAAATTAATTTGAACGTATTGGACAGACCAATAAGACATATTGGATTGGATCAATCCGGTCTAAAATATTTATTAGATTGGATTGGGTTGGATTAAGTCAATATCTGGTCCATTGATATAAGATAAGAATATATGTGTCAATGGACCGATTCTGGGTTGAAACCAATCTAAATTAAAATGAATTTGAACAGATTGGATGGTTCAGACATTGAATTGAACTGGCCCAAATTGGTCCAAAATATTCATTGGATTGGTTTGGACCTGGTCCATTTATAATGGATTCACATTGGATGGATCGGATTGGACCAAATCCAGTCCAATTGACACCTATAGTCCCAACTTCTAAATTTGATGCATGTACCAATGAAACCCACATGCACTTCATTGGTATCCTTTGAGACTCATATTTGTTATGTCACCACAGTAATAGTAAATTTTGCAACAATCCAATAGAAAACCGATACAATGCCCATTTGTCTTAGGTTGTATTTGATATCATTATCATTTTTACTTGCAATGTTTTAAGTTGGTCAATATAAATTTTAGGAGAATATATATTTTTTTCTACTACAAATGCTTTGAGTTCTCAATTCAACACTCGGTATCATTGTTGTTTCTTGAGAAAGTGGAATTTGATGTTTATACTATAAATGTCAGTACCCAATCTAATGTTTATATTTTTTTAGGAAAAGTGATTATGTGATATGATGTGACAAGATCATTTCTCCAAAATTTGTATTGATCAACCTTAAAATACTAAACACAGCCTTAAATGTCACACTAATATGTATTTCAGGTATATAGACATATAGTGGGTCAAAAAAGGAAATCTCTTCTCTCTGTCTGGCCAGCTGAGGGCAATTAAGTTTAATAGAAGGTAATATTGTTGATATCATTCATTTCTTTTATTTATCATTATCTCTATTAATATAAATCTAGATTTTTATATCTATGCTTTTACTAACTGAATTAAGCGTTTATATTACTTCTCAAATATATTGTGATATTATGATTTTGTTTTTCATTCTTAGTTCTTAATACTTACCAGTTTCATGTATTATAAATTTTGAAGAATTAATCTTCACAGGCCACAGCTGAGAATTTGAAACAATGGATTTCAAGGCTGAGGATTTTGGGTATGGGGTTCAGATCAATCAATACAACGTATATAGACATGATGATACATTTTTGTTTTGGCTTTGGATTGATTAAAATTCTCAATCAATCTGAAATCTGAAGTTGACCCATCTTGAACCTAGTTAAAAGAACCCCACCCATTACGTTACCTGTATAATTAATATTGGAAAAAGACTCATGCACGTAGTTACAAATAAAGATAGACATGATATCGTGAGGGCAGAAGCTAGCTCTCCCTCTTAATTAGTGGCTACTGCCTACAAACCTCTAACTCATATATTTGGACATATAAATGACATCAAATGGATGAAACAACTGGCGCTGACAGCAAGGTAATAACCAAACCTCAGCCACATATATACCATGCATATAGACTTCATTATTTCTGCCTAACCCGGCTCGGCCCGGCCAGCCTGAAAGTTAGGGTACATATAACAAGTTCTTATATATTCTTTCTGTAATTTTTATTACAAAATTAAATAAAAAAAATTTATTTTATAAAATATAAATTTTACTAATTTATACAAGGAAGTTTAGGTGCCTGGCCTGGCTTGGCCCGGGCCCCAAATTGAACATATATTATAAGGCCGGCCCAGAGTGCCAGGGCCAAGCCGAGCCTGGGCCATAAAAGCTGTTATTACCCCATAAAACCCCCGCCTGGGCCATGATCATATCCCTAATCAAGGAAGCTTGGGTGCCTGGCCTGGCTTGGCCCGGGCCCCAACTTGAACATATATTATAAGGCTGGCCCAGAGTGTCGGGGCCAAGCCGAGCCTGGGCCATAAAAGCTGTTATTACCCCGTAAAACCCCGGCCTGGGCCATGATCATATCCCTAATCAAGGACGTATCCCTTTTTTTCCATTGAATTGATTTTAAATTTTTGAAGCAAGGTTCAAAATATCGATATGCCCAATATGCTGGTAGGACTGTATTGATACTCCTTTTTCTTTTATTTTATTTTTTCAAAACTGATTCAGGGGGCCGGTTTAAGGTTCCTCCACCCTATGAACTGGTCAAAATCCTGATACACCCTCTGTAGGGACATATCAGAGAGCTCCCAAAACAATACCTATCAGTTGATACAGACTGATATGTATCGATATTTAAACCTTGTTTTGAAGATCCAGCTGGGTATTTCATCAGTTATTATTTCTGTTTCTTTTTTTTTTTTTTTTTTTTACGCAAGTTCCATCTCTTTTAATGTAGATAATAAAGAAAACAAATCTTTCATCGTAAGAATGACAAAAATACTGCTCAGATATTTCACTCTGAAAATTTATTTTCCACCCATTACATTGAAAAGTGACAACAAATGGGGCCTTAAGGATGGGGAGATTTCTTTGTAGTTTGTAGTTAGCATATCACCGTGATACAACCTCTCCTAGAGAAAATAACAAGTATATATTTCTTTAATTTTCAACCAGAACATAATATATAGTTGTTGATCAAATTGTTTTACTAATAAAATAATACTCAAATTGATTTTAGAAAATTAATTATTGATCAATCAGCAGATTGCTACATGTGTCCATATCTTTGGATTGCCCACACCAAATCAAGCTAGGATAATAGCTGCATGAGAAGTGAAAGCAACATTGTTGAAGAGAGTATAAGGAAGTATTAATTGTCCTTAAAAGACCACCAAAACCTGAATGAGTTAAATCTATAAAGTATCCTGGTTTTATTAACTTTGTATTAGTTTATTACTAATTACACACTCCAATCTTAAGGATGCTGAACGACGGGCAATAAGGTCAATCTCATCTTATAATATGTCAAGGAAAAGAAGCCCGTTTCTGTTTTCATTTCTTTCTTCATTTGGCCCGTGTTGGTTGAAGTGCAAATTTTGATCAGGTGTAGAATTTTTACCCAGTTTAGTTTTGCACTTGATACAAAATTGGGATTCTTACTTGACACACAAAATTTGTAGTTTTTGCCTCCTTTGCACTCATTGGCATTTTGCATCCCAAAATGTGATTTTTGCACTACCTTCTACTTCAATTCTATCTCATATAAAGCCTGCAGGTTCATATCTTCTTGCATCCTACCTGATTCCTGGATAGATAGCCATTCTTCTAGGTTCCTACCTCCATACTCTTTCATTTAAATAGAAACAACTTCATTTTACTACTCATCACAAACAAATAAGACAAGGTCAAATCTGAAATAAAAGTAGAATTTACATTGGGCCTTTCTGCACTCCCTTGCATTTACACCAGTGCAAACAAACAAACTGAGCCTTAATTATGATTCTTTGATGGCCTTTGCTTTTTCTAGTCTTAGCAAATTGCAGCACAATGATGAATAGCAGAAACACCATACAAAAGTAGTTCATCAGTTTGGGCTTTAGACACAATAAAGTTCTTATGGATACAAGGTTTTTTTTTTTTTTCCCTTTTTCTTTTACTTTCTAAAAAAATATGTGAGGACTGACATGGCCGACCAAAGCGTCCATCTCAGAAGAGCCTCTTTTAGAGAAAGAAGAAACCCTTTATAAAGCGCAACATGGACACTTCTTCTCTGTCCTCATGATAGTGCAGTTCCGTGTTGGTGTGCATGGGCGCGGGTGCGTTTGCATGAGCAAATGCACCAGAGATTGATTCCTTTTTTTTCTTTTTTGCAACTACAAATCGAAGGCTAGCTAGATTTGAGGGATAAATTCATCTGCACCACGCTCCACAAAATGTCAAAAGACATACTAATCTGATGGCAACAGTGAATAACTAGTTGTCTCCCTAGCATTACAGCAAGGTTGTCATCAAACACATGTCTGTGCAAAGTGATAGAATGGCCCACCTGAGGATGAGAAGGATGAACGAAATTTCCATTTACTGTTTATTAAAAAGAAAGGGTGATGACTGATGAGCCAGGTGATGTGGGGAAGTTGGTCTTGTTGTGCTTGAGCCAGAAAAAAAAAAAAAAAAAACAATAGCTTAAGAAGGAATATATGCTAATAATAATTAGGGTTGATATAAAGCCGTTAATTTTTAGAAGAATATTAATTTGTAGACTGATATCCACCAAATTTTCTTTACTAAATCAATGGTATTCGAAAGCATTAAGCTAAAAGACTTATCAATTGTGGGTTCATTATTTTATTGAAAATGAACAAATAATTGGTTAACTAATACCCTTTTTGTATTTATTTCATTTTTCCTGGACAATTGATCCTATCAATAAAAATGAGTAAGAGCTCAAATCGTCAAACAAGGAGGTTGAACAACCACATCCCTTAATTGGTCTCAAGGGGTTGGACTCAGGCTCCCAACTATATCAATAATTGGCACTAGTGATGTGGACTCGGTTGAATCCAGAGAGCTTGATTTACAATCAAAGAAAGAAATCAAGTAGTTGATAAAATGCATTAACCTAGAAGTAATCAATCAGAAAACAGGAAGCCTAGTAGTCCAAGCCCACCTTAGCTGAGCTAAGTCAAGCCAACCAAGCCAGACCATCCCAGCATGCTAACCGAAAGTAACCGTCAATCAAACAATAAAAACTCAGGAGTGAAGTTAAAAAGGATTAAAAACAGACCAGAAAATGACATGGGGAGTAGAGAATCCTATTCCCCAATCCCCAAATGGAGTTTTAAATGCAGATGCAGGGAAAGGCCAACCATGAGACCCCCCAACCACATTGTCTCATTTTCACTCCCCTGGTCCCTTGCAACAGGGAAGAAATTATTGCAGATTTACCTGCTACAGGTCCCTCTCTTTGTCTCACACCATAAAAGGGTCTCTCACACACAAGACCCAACACCAGTTGCTGTGGCAACAAAACCAGCAAAACCCCAAGTGAGAAAATAAAGCAGAGGAGCTGCCTCATCATGACTACTAGCAAATCAAGATAGAAAAGCAACCTCAGTTAGCAATAATTCTCTAATCACTTTGCTGCAGTCCTAATTCGTACTTTGGTTTTGATCCTTAAGAGAGCTCCAGAAGCAGAGAAGAGCAGTAAGATGGAGATAGAATTGGTGAAATGCGAGTGTTGCGGATTGAAAGAAGATTGCACTCAGGACTACATTAGTGAGGTCAAGGCAAATTTTAACGGAAAATGGCTTTGTGGGTTGTGCTCGGAAGCTGTTCGAGATGAGGTCAATAGAGGGAAGAAACCATTTGGAATGGAAGAAGCAATGAAAGCTCACATGTCATTCTGTCGGAAATTCAAGTCCAACCCTGCTGTCCGAGTTGCAGACGGGATGAGACAGCTGCTCAGGAGGAGATCAGGGGATTTGTCCTCCCCACAATCGACTACTACTGCTTCCAAGAAGTACCTGAGATCGGCAAGCACATCGCAAGTCGGTGATGAATCGTCGTTCTCGCTTTACTAGTTCTGATCAGAACCGGGGGGGACCTCTTCTGGGTTGGAATGACTCTCCAGCTTTTCGTGGCCAATTTTCTTGTCTTGTACAGGAAACGCTTTCAAAAGAGAAGCTTGAAGCTAGTTTGTCTTTTCTTAAGATGGGTATGCTCTTCATTTTTCCTTGTTTCTTTTTCCCTCTGGAGAAAAGGAAAAACAAGAAAATTTTAAAGTAGACTTATTGAAACTAGCCAACTGTAGAAGAGGGTGAGAAAAAACAGAACCTTTTCTTGCTTTCCAGAACCAAATGTAAAAACATTACTGAAGAACCCAGTTTTGCTTATTTGTCCTTCACTTCTTTCTGCTGCCCTGCTTTTATTCTGCCATTTCTTCGGTGCTAGCTTTTTTTATATCTTTGCGTGATTCTTGCTACTGGTTTTGCTCTACTTTCTATTCTTTTTTGGCTTAATTTTGATTATATTTATGGTTTACATATTAGATGGAGGGTGGAAATAATGGAATATTTTCAAGCTTTCAAGAAACCAAAAGCATTTCTAAACCATTGAATTCTCGGTGGTTTCAGAAAAAAAAAAAGGAGCAGAAAATAAAATATTTGGTTTAGTAGTTGAATCAGGGAGAAATAAGGCGCTTGTTGTTTCTTGATTTTGTTCTTGAGAAACTGAGGTCGCATTGTATTAACTTTATTCTCATGATTTCTTTTTGGTTCAGCTGATTTCCAAAACTAATGAAATCAAGATCAGACCTACATTTGCCCATTCCAACTTTGCAAGCCAACCATGACGGATTGATGGCATGAGATCCAATAAAGTCATAGAAAACTATTATTTTCGTAAGTGGTTGTGAGTTGGGAGATGCATCCCCCCAGATTAAACATATTGTATTTTTAATATTTCTAAGTTTGTTGATTCAGTGCTACTCGACTGCACTGGTGTCTGTTTGATCTAGATCACATCTATGGGATTCTAGCACCAGCTACGGGATAAACCCACTAGACAAATTCATAATCCAGGCAGCAAACTCAGACGAGATATCTAATTGCATGGGTTGACTCCACCGATCTGAGGGTTCTATGAGATCGATCTGCCTGTGCATTCTTTAGTTCATACAATGAAGATCTCTGTGGAAGGCCAAGCTAGAGCAGGACACTTGAGAAGGGAAAAAGAGACTGAGTTAATTAAACTTAAGTTCATACAATTAAAACTGGAAATACAAGGAATTAATATGAATGCTTTGGGGGGGGAGGGGGGGAGGAGAGAGAGAGAGAGTGGGTGGGGGGAAGTGGGGAACTAAGGTTGGTTTTAATTAATTAATTCCGATGAATTTTGTTTTAAGTTTGGGTTTATAAAAATTGTAGAAACCAAATTCTTTTTTCCTGGTCTCAAAACTAAACCCATTCTAAGAATTGTTTCTTTGAAGCTTTAAAAGAGAATAATTTGGGGTCAAAACTCATTCTCAAAATAGTGATTTTTAGAAGCAGATTTTTAACCAAACATAACTAAGTTTTCACAAGGAGCTAAAATGAATGCACAGATTTTTCCATTTTGTTGGAATTGTTAGAGGCTCAGTTTGGAAGTAGTGTAGAGTGCAAACCTTGCAGTTTGTACTATTTTGTATATATTTATACTGTACGTATTCTTTCCAAACTGAGCCTTCTATTTCTTACTTTACGCTTAAATTTGTCATTCTCAAGGTGCCACATGTCACCTTTGTGCTTACCTTCTATGCACATAAGACATTTCGAATTAGATTCCAGCACAATCAGGTTCTCCCTGGAGAGTGAGCTAGTCTAAATCGTAGATGCCTGGCCACTGCCTATTGAGGAAATTGTGACGCAGGTTGCAGTCCACTTATCCCCCATTTTTTTTTTTAATGAAAGAGTGAGAAATGTACAAAATTTCCTGCAGAGTTTCTATAGAACATTTTAGGAGATATTGATTGAGAAATCTGCTAGCAACATTTATCAGTTCTTCTGAAAGGAAAATCATGTCCCCCTTTGTGTTGCGTAATGGGACCCTTGGTTTCTATGTGTTCAAGCAGGAAAATTGCCCTGAACGTAGAGGGATCTAGATTACACTAATCATATAACCAGTTCAGCAGTTGGGTTACAATGGGAAAATGAAAAAGAGAGTATATTTAGTTGTGAAAAGATCTGATCATGGGCTGGGTTCGGGATTAGCTTTTGTCAAAATTCTAATGAATTTGATCTGAAGCCCGAGCCTGAAACAGTGTAAAATTGGGCTCAAAACCCGACCTGTGAATAGGTCTAATTATGAATTTAGCTACCACTACAATAAATTAAATCATCAAATTAAGAAATTTCTCCCTTGATCCGTGTTTGTGTCAAACTGTCAATGCAAAGGGGGCAGGGAACAAATCTTTTTCTCCGGAAATGCAATTCAAAGATTTAGAGTGAAATTGTTTTCCAGCCTTTCATGTTAGGCAAAGAGAGTTGTAATCTCAAAAAAAAAAAAAAAAAAAAAAAAAAGATCCAGTTAGTTGAAAGCTGAGCGTTGGTATTGTCAAATACTTTTCTTGGCAGGTACAAATAACAGACATACCGTGGGTCTTCCTGAGACACCTAATAAAACATTCCTTATGCTTTTGTTGCACCTTTTAATCACCGTTTTCAAAATCGGATTGGATCGGACGGTCGGACTGGAAAAACTGGGAACCGGTCATTTGATCGGTTCCATTTTTCTCCAAAACCGCTTTTTCCCCTAAAATCATTGATTTTGGTCAGTAAACCATTGAACCGGTCGGTTTATCATTTGAACCGTTCAAACGGTTTTGATCGTTTTCCAATTTTTAAAATTTTTTAGATAAATTTCTTAAACTACTATTATGATTTAGTTAATTGACTAAGTGTATCCCTACTGTTTCCGACAATTGACTAACTCTATCCTTACCCTTTGCATCCATTAATATTCTGTTAAATTTGTATACAGATAACATATATTATTTTTTAAAAACCCAATTTTACCCATACCATTTTCTTCCTTTCGACAGAAAATAAGGAACCCAGATTGAATAAGGTCCTTAAGGTACGGTTCATGGCTGCTTCTTCTTCTTCTTCGACGGTGGAAGATGAATCCGACGTCGAATTGGGACACCTATTGGCTCTATTGCTAGAGGAGATGCGACGGAGGGTAAGCAAACACCTAGAACTCCACCGCCTAATTGAGGTTGTAATGGACTTGGGTCGGAAACCCTTGGCTCGGTTCCCCTCCGGCGACTTCGTCCTCTCTGATCATCCCATTACCTTCCAAGACCTCGAGCATGCTACTTCCCAGGTGAGGTGACCGATTTTTTCTTTCTTTTCTTTTTTTTTTATGAAAAGCAGGTAACTGAATCGATACCATGCTATAAATACAATCATACGGAATTATCTCACTGTCGAAAGGAATTACCGTTTTCTTCCTTTCGACAGCAAATAAGGAACGCAGATCTGATTTGGCCAGGCGAAGCTTGGTTTAAAGAAGGCAGTCAGCGACGGAAAGAGGGAGACAAAGAGGAGGATCTCTGCAACAAAACCTGCATCAGGCCCTGCAACCCATGGCGTGGTGGCATTGATGGACTGCTACCAGAGGTAAGCTGGGATTTCGGAAACTCCTCGATCTATACTGGAGGCCAATGCAAGATTGGAGCTGCAAAGATGGACTGTTCCTGGAGGTAAGCTGGGATTTGGCCGGAATTCCTGCAGAGTTAAAGCTACGGCAGCGGGTCTGGTGGCAGCAGCCATGAAAGTTCTAGTGAATGTCCCAACGACAACGACAACTATTTCTGGGTTTATCACTCGGAACATCTTTTTCCCCTTCCAACCTTGTCAAAGCTTCCATGGGCTCATTTTCCCTCTTCTAGGAAAAGTAGTGACGCCTCTCTTACCATCAACGACTGTGCTCACCTTGAACATTGAATCTTCCCCGCAGCCCTTAGTATTCTTGACTGCACACCCCTGTGTTCCGACCAGGTGACCCCGTCTTTGAGGCCGCCCCTATTCCTTCCTCTTCATCCTCCACCACCATCCAGTCTAGAAAACAGTGAATCTGACCCTTATGACTTTTGCAGTCAGGGCCTTGGGGATCTCGTGTGCTGCCACAAGGTCCCCCCATTTCAGGTTTTCTTCTACAACTTCGGTGAAACCTCACAGTTTCGGCAGTTCCAATGACTTTTGCAATCAGATTTTTTTCTATAACTCCATTATTTCGGCAGTTACAGTGGTTCCAATGGTTACAACTGACGCAGCGTGGAAGCAATGAGAATCGGAGCTGACTATGCAAGCACCGGGCGTTCGCTAGCACCTAGCGAATAACACAGATTTCTTTAGGAGAGAGAAAAGGTGGCGAAAACTCAAAGAAGAGAACTCAAGAAAATTTGAAAATCTGAAGTATGAATTGTGTTCATTAACTGAAAAATAGTAGTATTTATAATACATCTGAAAATTGAAATTGTAAAAGAAATGGGAATTGTGAAAGAACTGAGAAAGAACAATTATGATAGATCAAAACATCTAATCTAGATAGAATCAAATTCCTCTTTGCCTGATCTCCACCGTTCGATCTCCCTAGATGCATGTATCTTGGATTATCTTGCTAATCTTGATG